CAGTATTTGGCCGGCTGCCTTTACTTCACAGGTCTTTACCTGGTACCTATTTAAGTCTGGGTCGACAAGGGAGTCATGATCATTTCTGAAAAACGTCCAGCCCCGTCAGGACCTCAACCCACCATATTTTCGATCTGCAGGATAGATAGCAACTACCTGCTGGGCTTTGAGTAGCTTAGCGATTAAATGTTCATCTCAGAAAGTTTTTGTTGTTCGTCCACTTCTGGAAACGTAGACTGTATCAGCGCCAAGATAAAAAGTTAAAATCAGTTTCATAAAACCTTAAATGCTCATCTCAGAAAGCTGCTCAAAATCAAATGACAAGATATGATCCGAAATAATGTGTTTCTTGATAGGGCAAACCTGCATAGCATCCGCACGAAACTGAAGAATTATCAGCAGCGTTGGGCTGCTCACCTAGCCCGCATGCCAGACTATCACTTCCCAGAGTATTTTATGGCAAGCTCCAGCAAAGGAAGAGGTTCCATGGAGGTTAGAAAAAGCACTATAAGGACACTCAAAATGCTCGCAATTCTTTTCGCATGAAAACAGCAGCAGAGGAGGCTGCTGCACAGGACCGTTCTGAGTGGTGTACATACCTGCATTGTGCACCAACCTACCAGGCAGCAGAGGTTGCACAGGCAGAGAAACGGAGGCAGACTAGAAAGAACCGTATCGCTAATCCCACACTTACTGCATCTTTCACCTGTTATCGGCACTGCTCAAGAACTTTCCAGGCTCATATTGGACTAATCAGCCACCTTCGCACTCATAATCATTGATCATTACTACTTTGGATAAAAAGTGGTCTTCATCACTCGTGATGGACGAATAACAACAGACTTTAGTCTTGTTCCAAAACTTGAGTTTTGCGTGTACATTCCTTTCACACGTCTGGTTCCTCGCCTCTCGGGCAGATGAGCTTTGATGAAAACAGTGCTAATTAATCGACTTTTAAAAATGCTAGTTATTACGTTGCTTACCCGAGCAGGACTGCAAGTTATAGCGGGCTAGTTTGGTCGTTACGGGTGACCTAATTATGACTTCCTTGGGGGCTGAAAATGGTATCTTGGTCTGCCACTTGCATCGATATTCTTTACAGTCTGACGGTGCCAAACTATCAGGTCCTGTTGGTCCGCCACCAGCATTGATATTCTTTAGTCCCACGATGCCAAACCTTCATGTCCTGTTGGTACGCCACCAGCATTGCTATTCTTTACAGTCTGACGGTGCCAAACCTTCAGGTCCTGTTGGTCCACCACCAACACTGATATTCTTTAGTCACATGGTACCAAGCCTTCAGGTCCTGTTGGTCTACCATCTAGATTAAGACCTTTTGATCTCAGGGTATCAAAATGTTTAGGTAGCAGCCTTGATTAGATAAACGGCCCCGCACGTTAAATTCAAACGCTAGGAAAGGTAATAATGCATTTGTTTTCCAGCCCGAAGATCAACAACAAGCAAGAAGAAAAGACCTGCGGAGACGGGCCAAATATCAGAATGGTGCTGAAGAACGACGAGGAGTTTCAAGAGGGCATGGAGGACATACTGGTGAGTGCCGTCTTGTGTTAATCCTCAGGTTATGGTACTTTATAATGTCCTGTTCCCTGGGTAAACTCCGTCATATTATGTTCCAGTACCGTCAGGTCCCCCACCCCACCCCCCACCACCCCAATCACACGAGTGTCTAGTAGCTAAACCGCGGCTACTGCCTCAAGTTAAGAGACATTCTAGTTAATTGCTGCAAGGTTGTCTTAATGTATATTCTATCCACCGCCTTCTCCATTCAGCTGGAGCCCTGTGGTGGTTCTATCCAATGCCAGCGACTTTTCCTCTGCTCTTTCGTCACTGCTGTTTAGTCACCTTTTGTAACCTTCCCCCTCCCCCAACCCTTTGCATCTATGTATATCTCCATTTGTTAGCTTATTGTCCAAGGTTCTGCATCATATAGTAGGGTTAATAAGGCAACTGTTGTTATTTTTTTCCTTCTTCATTTCTTTCAATATACATATTTAGAAGGGTAAAGAATGCCCATGACCTCCTTGAAGAAGTTGTGGTCTTTATAAATATCCTAGCCCAGATGACGTCACAGGAGAGTCCAACATTTTAGAGGGCGGTAAGACTGGGTTTCCCAGCTTTCTGATGTTTTTAACGGCCCCAAAACATCTAGAACTGGCCCTAACCCCAACCCACCCACGAGAGAGTGCAACCTAGGTCCCACGACTGCCTATCTATCACCTGCTGAAATATTAAACTGTCCTGCGACCTGTGGATTTCCTCTGTTTGTGGTAGGGTATTAATAAATCACTGAAGTTTTATCTAAAGATAAAATCAGCAAAGGATAATCAACTTTTACACTAAGGGCATAATAAATCCACAATTTTAATGATACAATGTTTGTCAGATTATCTAATTATTCATAGTACAATTTTATCATAATCACAACCCAAATCAAAGCAAATTTAAAATAAAATAAAAACACAAATTACATATTTGTCTTATATAAATAATGAAAAATATATATTACATATCACAAGTATATGCTGTGAAAATCTGATGAACACTCAATTATAATACTCAATTATAATGCTAAGTGCTGTATAGGATATTTCTGAAAATCACTACTACTACCCCATAATGATTAATAATTACACAATATAAATCAAATAACAAATATTTATTTCGATAACTCGATGAACATGATATCCCAATTAAAACCCTATCACATTTCCAACTCTCATTAATGTTTTTCATTTCTTATTGTGTCTCACATTTCCTTGCAATTATACATTGTAAGAATAAACTAGACACAAACGGTAACACAATGTCAAATGTGGAGTTTCTGTGTAAAATATCTGCAATGAAAAAATTGCGTTTTTGTTTCTTTGTAGAATCAGCTACAATTATAGTTATGTTACAATAAACATAAACCTGCAAATGAGACGATTCACATAAAGTATTGCCAATAGTAAACAAAAAGTGAATGACCCCTTTCCACGCCTTTAAGCATAGTGGGCCCATAGGACTAGACCTATATTTTATAGACCAATCGGCACCTGATGGGTGATGTGGCCAGCACCAAGCCAGAAGTGTTGCCAATGCAAGTGAAATAATTTGAGTTGCAATTGGATGGTGCCTGCCTGAATGTCCCAGGCTCAAACCCATTTGATATCAGTTGAAAAAAATATATAATTGAGGGATTCCCAGCAGGAATGCTGACACAGAGAAAACATTTGGTGAGGGGAGGGGAAAGTGCTCTTAGCCCACGCCCTCTCCTTTTTTCTCTCTATCACCATACACATTTTCTAGGCAGACACACAGTAATTGAGTAAATTCTTGCGATTCTAACTCGGATACAGAATAAGGCCATATGCATCACACTTGGATGCATTACCTTCTTGATCTTCCAAGCATGGAAGTAAGTACAGTGATGATTCACACCGTCCATTGCACAGCAAGATTGGCAGGAAGAAAGGTAGCAGGTTAAAGAGGAAAATCCTGGGTGGGTCAAAGTGAGGACACAGAACATGGTGAGGAATGGGTACTAGTGCCAGCAGAATGGTGTCCATCCTGTTCAGTCTGCATCAATCTGGACATGGAATGCAGACAATTAGGCCCGCTGTTAGTTGAGGCAGAAGTTGAAGCCTTAAAAACTTGAAAATTCTGCTGACAGAGCTGCAGCTATCTATACCGATGGATCAGTTGTTCGGCGCGTACAAAGTTCATGGGCTTTCATGGTTCTGGTTTGAGGGAAAACTGTAAAAGAAGTTAGTGGTGCTTTTGCCTCGACTTCAAGTAGTCTGACTATGGAGGTGATGGCAGTGACAAAGGCAAAGTGTGGCTAGAGACTTTTTCATGTAAAGTGATTCTATGAGCACGTTTAAGAGGACAGAGACAGCGTGGATTCAAAGAAAATGGTTGGAGTCGCTAAGGAAATTTTTTCTGATAGGAATCAGTTTCATTTTTTGTGCCAGGACACTCTGAGATAAAAGGAAAAGAACGAGCAGATTGGCTTGCAGGTAGGGTCAGGGCAGTTACAGGAAAAGCAATGGACCGAGCCGACATTTTTGAATGCTCTCAAGGAGGCGGGAGGAGAAGATGATTCAGGAGATGACTGGAGTCGGACAACACTCAAAAGACTACAAGAACTTCAGGTCAAAAGAGGTGGTGCCAAACATAACACTATAAAGGTAGCCAAAAAAGAATAGTAAATCCACACAGAACTGGTGTTATCAGTTGCGACACCCTGGGGGAAATACTGAAGAAACGATCCAAGTGCTTAGGGAATTGTCCTATATGCAGTTATGAAGTGAGGATAAACTGTCCATTAACTAACTAACACGAAAGGAAAGTAGTCAAAAAAGAAGAAAGGATTTTTTTTTTAATGTTAGGAAAATAATATAGGAGAAAAGTAGAATAAGACTGACATGGGATTAAAAAAAAAAAACAATACAGCAATAAGAAGGTATGAACTTGCTAATAAATTATATAAAGATAATTATCAACTAATTTAAACTATATTTTAAAACACATTCATTAAAACTAACATTAGTGGCTAAGTAAAATAAGTTTTAAAAAAAGGAACTTTTTTTTAACGCCAGCGGAGCACCGGGCATATTATGCTAGACTTCTATTTGTATATACCAACCAGTACTCTTGATTTTTATTTTATTTTTTTAAAAGAAAAGAAAATACTTTTTTTTTACATTAAAAAAAAAAAAAAAATTCGCCTTGTTGCGAATTCAAATCCGCCCTGTTGTCCAGCAATTTCCCATCTTGTCAACTTACATATCGATACCATCTACGAGACGGTTCCTCTCAGTATTCAGATCCAGTAAAGTGTCAGTATTTTCTCTCTTCTTTGTCCGCAGTATTCTAAGAATCTCTTATGTTCCATGTTCCTGTACTAAAATGTATGTTTTACCTAACAAAAGAGTTTTCTACAGTAGCACTGTCAGGTCTTTGAAACATCTTTCTAGAATGTGTGGCATGAATACCCCTTATCTTCTCTCTACAAACTTGATCTTGAATGGTTGTGGCATACAAGTGATGCCAATAATGGCTTCCAGTGAAGGTAAATTTGTCTGATCTGCAGGCACAAGTTGAAATCTTTGAAGCACAGATGACAAAAAGAGAAACAGTTCCATTTTTGCTAGTGCTTCTCCTAAACATACTCTCCTCCCGATTGAAAATGGAATAAGTTCTTCAGGGTGTAAAAGATCCCCACTTTTGTCCTAGAATCTCTCAGGCCGAAACTTCTCTGGGTCTCCCCAGATTTTTTTGTCATGTAAGACTGAATCTAAAATGGGCAATATCACACTTCCTTTAGGCAAGGTGTATCCGTTAAATTCAAAAGTAGTTCCGACAATTCGAGGAATGGCAATGGGCACCAGACTGGCCAGTCGTTGGGTTTCTTGAATAACTGCATTGAGATATGTCAGCTTCTGTTTGTCGTGCATGTTTGGGGGTCGTTCGGAGCCGACGTTTGCAATGATCTCCTGGTAGACCTTTTCTTGTATTTCTGGGTTATGCAGCATGTACAGCATACACCACAAGGTAGTGGTACTTGTGGTTTCAGTTCCTGCAGCAAACAGGTTCCTGATGATTGCCACCAGATTTGCTTCATCCATTAATGTTGGTTCCCCTTTGTCCTGCCTCTTCTTCAGCTCCTGTAGGTAAGCGGCAATAAATGTGGTCGGTTCTTCCTCCTCATTGAAAGATTTCTTGATTTCCTGTATGTAAGCCTTAGCAAACATTTCATTTGTTGCCAGCACACTTTTAACCCATCTTTTGGCATAGAATGGATCCCCAGGAGTGTAGTAAAGAAAAGGAAACAGCTTCAGTAGTGACATCTTTGAGCCATAACGAACGGTATTATTCAAATGTTCCATGAAAGTCATAAAATAAGGATCATCATAATCAAAGCGTTTGCCAATGATGATAGAACAAATCACGTTAGAAACGCTAATGTTCGTCAGTAGCTTCACGTCAGCTGGCTGGCCCTTGAGGCTCGCTAGTTTATTAATATAAACCTCAACTTCTTCTTCAATTCTCTCAGCCAGCACATTCTTGCCCACGCCAAATGTCCGCAGGATTGCCAGAGAAACAGTTCTCTGTTCTTTCCAGTTGGCACCACTAGCTCCAAGGATCCCTTTATTCTCTTCTTTAATGACATCGTTTCGAAATGTACGAGGGATGTCAGGCAGTTTATCGGCATGTTTGACCAGAAGCTCCTTTATGTTGTCATATCCATTGACCACAATGTTATGCTGACCTCCAATATCAAGACTAAAGATATCACCAACCTTCTCTCGCCATTCGGATAAGCTTCGACGAATGTTGCTTCTGATCATAAGCATGTGACCAAAAATAAACTTAGCAGGAACTGGGAATGGTGGTATGTTGTATTTGGTGTAAGGACGTCGGGATTTGGTCCATAGCCAGTATGTAGACAGTATTGTGATGACTGTCAACAAAGCCAAGGGGATGCTCAGGTCTGGGATGAAGTTTGTTAACATGTTGGGCGTTTATTCTTGTCTGGAAAGCCTGGTGAAGAAAGAATGAACGTGAGTCAGTGAATTGGGACAAAATAGTTTATACTGCTATTATCTGGATTCAGAAGAGGAGAAACAACTGTAGTACAATAATTCAAAGTGTTAGGTTAAAATTTGAGTCATGAAACTGAAAGCATTAAAATATTTACATCAGGATGTGTTTATCTCTTTAACTATCTTAAACTCTTCCACCAAGTTAATATGTTAGTAAAGTAAAATGTTTAAAACATGTTTCCCGGTAAAGGTAATGATGTAGGGCTCCCTTGCTGACCTGGCCAAAAATGACGTTCTAAGGATCTATTTCATATTACATTTCTTTGTTCCAATTTTAAAAGGGATGACCTACTAGCAATAAGTAAATTACACAAGTCCACCTCGCAAATCGATCGCAAAACCATACATGGAAATATGTCCTTAATATTAAAATCCATCTGAGGCATATAACATATAAATAGGCTTAACACTGGTGAGATACGACAGTAAACATGTAAACAATAGGTTATTCATTTGTACTGTCTTTCCTTTTCTACTCTTTCCTTTTTTTGACTTTTTCTTGAGTCCTACAAGTGCGTTGGGAAATGAGCACACAGATAAATTAGCTGTTTTTATAACACTGAGTGGTGAGCTGATGCATGCTAAGCTAGATGTGGTCAAGACTCTTTGGGAGCAAGTGGCAAATGCTGAAATGCTAGGAGAGAATGGGGCAGCAGGAAGTGAGCAGGTGATCTGGCCAACACTCAGAGGAAATGGAAAGCGGGCATATAATCAAGATGCTACTGGTATGAACTGATCTTGAACTCTGCACTGGTGGCTGTTGATTGGGACGGTGCTTTTACAGAAATGTCCAAAGTGCTAGGGTGTTAATTCTCCACCCACCTCAGCTCAATTTGTACCCTCTCCTCTGAGCATACACTTGACAATGTTGACAATAAATTCTGTTGAACCAGTTGAAGACACATTAGCAACGCAGCCCGAATCACAGCCAGCTCGTTACACCATACTAAATCGTGACATAGTTATGTATTAACATGAGTCTTTACAGAAGTGAAGATTGTGTATCCATCTCTACACTTAGGCCTACTCATTAGTCTTAGTCTTAGTCGAAGTTTCAACTGTGCTGCAATCAGGATTCCCCACTCTTGCTCCGTTCCTGTGCCAGTAAAAATCAAATGTTTGAAAAACTGGTGAACAAACAAATTGTCCCGACACAATCCACAAATATGCGCACACAGTAAATACATATGGCAGTTGCTAGAGGCACCAAAGCCAATAGTCGCCACCAGAAAGGCAGTTTGTCGTTGATAGAAGTACTTGGTCACAATAAGATGTCTATACACAGGTAACATTTTTAAATAAGAGATTTTACCAGCCCACGTGTAAACCGATTACTGATTCCTGAGCATGAAGAGATTCTGTATTTTTGTTGCTGTTGGGATGTCCCCTCCAGATTTGCATTTGCAAATCACAGAACCCCATTCAACAGTATAGCCATACAGCACGATTATACTTGGGGCACCAAAAACGGATACAAATTTACCTATAGTTCAGTGTCGATGGTTTTATATTCCTAGCGGTTCACGTGAAGCCAAAGTCTAGAACTTAGGTGTTGTTAACAGTTTCATAAACCCAACATACCTGGGTTCCAAGTCCAGATGAAGACAATTTGGCAGCAGACAGTTTTGTAATGAGCTTGGCAATGGTATGAGCGTGCACCAGTCAGTCAGAACTGACACACAATTAAATGTAAAAGTTCCTATAAAAAAACACAGAATAGACAATAATTCCTGAGGCTAGTTTATAATATCTTGGAGATCAACTGGAGTAAGGGTGTGGAAAGCGCAACTGAATGCAAATGTTAACCGTTTCTGACGACCCAATTTTCTTACTTGTTTCCCAAGTCACTTTATTGAATTCAGTCGCACTTGCTAATATACCTTTCATATATTTGTAGTACCCGATAGAGGCGTGTTTTCCTGAGTCATGGTTAACAAAGTGAAAAGGGAGGGAAAATGGGGGGGGGGGGGTATCCACACAAATTTGGCTTTGTTGAATGCAAGCCCTTTTCTGTACTCCAAAGAAAGATCCCAACGCCAGAGCTTGGCGCTGACTGTTCAAACTCGAAAACTCAAGTGTTCCAGCGGATTCTCAAAGAACTAAACCTCTTGTACCTGCCTGCTATAAATCCTGGCAGGAGTGTTGTATTTCTGTAGAATTACAGGGTGTCTTGACTTGTGAAGCATGACGGAGAGAGACCTCAGTGAGTTGTGAAGTGAACAACACACTAGACACTTAACACAATAATTATAATAGCAAGCGAGTGTGCTACAAATGCACTAAAGCGACGCCGACACGTCCACATACACAAATAATTGATCCACTAAATTTGGACTAATAGGCTAAACGAAAGGGAGAAGGAAAACAATGCACACGTACAAGACAAAAGGACGGTTTGAAAAAAAAAAACCTTTCCCGATGTAAAACACAACAACAACAAAGGGCAGATTACCCATACCACCAGTCTTTTCGCAAGGGAATAGGTTGTTTCCCTTGCCGCTTTCGTGCTTTTTAGTCAGAGCCGAGCCAGTCACAGTTCAGTGCATTAATTTTTTAGTTGTAGCTTGACTGCAGTCAACCATGTTGTCATCACCGTATACATAAACGTTTTAGCCCGTGGTAACGCTATGGCTAGTCGTTTTTCTGCCTGTCGAAACATCATAGGGTCGAAACCATCTATATGTGTGTGTGCGTCCGTGCGCGCGCGCGCGTGTGTGTGTGTGTGTGTGTGTGTGTTTGAGGGTGATTTGTTTAAAAATAATTTCTAGGTCGACACAGACTAAAATAAATATCAGAAAACGTTTTGAGAAGTAAAGACGACCGTTGTAACGCATGATCGCATTACATATCGCCTTCCCATTGGTCTATAACCAAATTCCTAATGCGCCTCTTACGTTAAAAAGATCTTTTACTTCCTTCTTTAAATATTCTATTTCACAGTTTTATTGAATTTTTAAACATTTTATTTCAGTTTTCTAGAATGAAAACGTGTTTGTATTGTACGTGTAGCTCAAGAAAGCTAAAACAATCGCGGTTTCAGGATGCACAAATAGCAGTTCTCCCATGTGGACCCAGCTTTGAGTGGGTACCAGGTGCAGCCCAGCGGCCGGCGTGATGCTGCCCACATCACCCATCTTGTGCCGATTGGCCTATAAAATATAGGTCTAGCCCTATATGCCTAAAGGCGTAGAAAGGGTCCTCTACTTTACAAATCAGTTATCATTTGCCATTGAGGTGATTTTTAATGGCACAATTAATCAAATAAGCTCACAGACACTAAAACTCAAATATGGTTTCATTAAGGAAAAAATGTACACCACTTTACCTGCGTGTCGCTTTTAAAACTGGTGACTTTCAGTTTCTAAACATATCGCTGCACGAATACTGTTGTAGTCTGGTCAGACTATACTGTATATATACATACAGAATATGGGCCACAGCCTGTGCCTGCATCTGAACTTGGCCTTTATTTGTATACAAACATTTGCGACACAGCCAGGTTAAAAAGTATAACACGACTGGCTTGTCCTCTGTATCTACCAGTGTTCTTCAATCTTTTTACAACAGCGGGCCAGTAAAACAGGGAATATTATTTCGAGGCCCACCTGGCAGCTAATCAAACACGAAACAACAATAACTATAAATATTTTATATATTATATTCGATGTTTCTGATATACGAAGCGTTACAATGACTTCTATTCGATTTTTCCTTTTCTTCTTCTTCTTCTTCTTCTTCTTCTTCTTCTTCTTCTTCTTCTTCTTCTTCTTCTTCTTCTTCTTCTTCTTCTTCTTCTTCTTCTTCTCCGTGTTCACCAGCTGTAATGTAAACTCTGGCGGGAAGTTCCGGTTGTTCATCCACTTCTGGCCTGAGTGTTGCGTGTGCTTCCGTTTTACAGATCCGACTCATTTGTATGCAGACTGCTGGCTCCTTGCCTCTCCGGCAAATGCACTCCTTCGAAGAAAGGTCCTAGTTAGTCGACTCTTACTACATGCTTTTTGGGTAGGCGGCGGGTCTATTCTTGCTTTCCCTATAAAAGGGCTCCGGAACCCACACAGGAAATTTCTCCGTTTGCTGTTAGTCTTTTGACGCACAGTCCTTGAGGTGTTGATCTTACAGACTAAAAGAGAAAAACTACTTACCTTACCTTGTTATATGATTAAGCAAAATCTGTTGGCGGTCCTAATGGGACTTTTTCACAGCTAGTGGGCTGCGGCGCATGGTTTGAATAACACTGCTCCATTTTGCCGATTCTGTGTATGTGTATGATTTTTGTATCGCTTTTTAAGGGCAGTTATGACGTCACGTATTTTAATGTCCCGTATAACACCCGCTAGATCAAAGAGGGTAACAAGGGGGCAACACGTGTAACACGTTCTGGATAATAATTAGTATAATGTACATTTAGGGTAGCTGACACAAACAAACCATTAGGGTGGGAAATGTCTAAGTAAGCCTAAGTCTTGTTTACAAGTATAATAATAATAACAATGCTAATGTGCTGAATGACAAATATATACAAAGACATATTAAAAATAAGGAAATGTATAAAAAGATATTTGTAAAGATAATATTAAATTTATATGGACTGTTAATGGTAGTTGCTCTGGTGTAGCGGCTAGACTCTCGCCTGCAGATCGGAAGGTCGTGGGTTCAGGTTTTGACGGAGCCGGATTTTTTTCTTCAAAAAATGGCCTTGACTCTCAGGTTGACCCAGCCTTAAGTGGATACCCGGTGCAGTCTTTGGAAGTCAATCGAATGCAGCGCTAGCCCAAAAGATCTTAAACGCTCTAAAAGGCTTGGAAAAAGGTCCTTTACTTTTGTATTTTTTTTTTTTTTTTTACTTGTATTGGTAATACTACGCCAAAATTTTGTAAGTTCACTTTTGTCGATTTTCATCTCAATGCATT